CGGCGCCGCCCCGGCCCGAGCGGCCCCGAAGGCGGCAGCGGGGCCGTAACGGGACCGTAACGGGGCCGGCGCGGTGCTGCCGCGGTGCAGCCTGGGTATGCTAATGAGGGACATGCTAATGAAGGATATGCTAATGAGAGGTGCCGCTCCCTACCTTCGTACTGCACCTCCAGGTGCACGGAGCGCAGCGTGGCCAGCAGCGGCTGCACCAGGGCGCGCGGGGCCTCCCCCAGCACCTCCTGCCGAGGCAAGGGAGTCCTGACGAGGGCCGTGACCCGCTGCCCCGCCGGCACCCGCCCTCCCGTGCGGCAGCAGCGCCTGGCCCTGCTGCTGCCATGAGTAGGGCTGTGCCCTCTACCCCAGCACCCCGCTTCTCTCTGATAGTCCCCACATGGGGCTGGGGGGTCCCTGCCAGCCCAGCACCTCATGGCCCAGCAATGGCCCATTGTGCTTGGGGGCGCAAGGATCTGCGCAGGCTGCCTTCCTGCATGCCAGCCCTGTTTCATGGCTGAGGGGACACTGCCCCACCAGGACCCACCAGCCTCCCTCCATATTGAGCCTTGGGGCTGCCTCCAGAATTCCCATGGAGGTGCTTCAGGTGTGGGAGCAGCATGGATGCATTTCCTCATACAAGGAAATCTCCAGCCCTCATTGCTAAGGTCAAGGACAGGATTAAACCTGGTGCACCAAAGCCCCACAGAGCTTTTTCCTGCAGGGACCTGGAGAGCCAGCAAGGGACTGCCCAGGGCCGGGGGAATGCCAGGGACCGCGACCTGCTGCCATTCATTCACCAGCGAGCCTGGCTACCCACCTGCATGACCCTGAGCGTCTGCAGAGAGAGCTGCTGGGCGCGCGGGGAGCTGCACGGCAGCACTGCAACCAGCCCCTTGTAGACTTGGTTCTGGTACTTAGGGTTGCCGCGGCCCAGAGAGTCCAGCAGAAGCTGCACCTCCTCTTGAGCGTCTCCTGATGTGGACGTCGCCAAGAACTCGGCAATGGATCGTACCCCTGTGCAGGCAAAGAGAGGCCAAGTCACAACCTGGATGGGTTTCTGGGTCCCACATCTCAGCTGCTTTACCTGATATCCTGAAAGAACCCAGCACCACATCCCACTCAAGCATGGCTCAAAAAACAGAAGCCAAGAAAAGTGGTCTTTCTTTTTGGAGGCATGCTCAGAGTGGCACAGCTAGTGAGATTTGACTTCTACTGCTGAGGGAGAAAACAAACAAACAAACAAAAAACCCAAACGTAATATCCTTTCTAGAGATACAAGCTGAAAACTCTCCTCCATGCAGAGGGAAGGCTGGGGAAAGCTTGCAGAGGGCGAGTGATCCAAGTAAGAACAGAGACTGGTTTGTGATTTCGACTGCAGCAGTTGCCACCAGCAGGACAGTAACATCACATCAAAAGAAATGAGTATAAATAAATTTGGCTTATAAAAAACAGAGTGGAGGGGAGAGATTCCACCACCGCCTGCCTACCGTAGCTCTCACAGATGAGCTCCTTGTATTTCCTGCCAGCGTTTGCCACGAGCTGAAGCAGCTTCACAGACTCCCTTTTGTCCTCCTCTCTCAGGTGGCTCAGCCCTAGTATTTCCAGGAGCGTCAGGACGCCTCCGATCTCCAGAAACTCAAGGAGGTATCTGCGTCTGCAGACAGAGAGGGAGCAAAGGCAGAAATGACACCCAGCGCCTGTCTTCCCCCTGCTCCTGGGAACCGTGTCCGGATGCCTCGTGGCGGGGAGCGACCAGCCAGGGCAGGGAGCTCATGGTGCTGGTGGCTCTGCTGCCTGCAGGTCACCTGTTCTTGCTGTGCTCGTTCAGATGTGGAGCCAGGGGCACGGTGCCCTCTGCCCTCGGTCCTCACCAGTCTGGGCACCAGACACTGGCACATCTGTGCTGAAACCATTGCTGTTTATAGCAAACCATGGCCTGGCTTGCACACAAAGGGCGCACAGCCCTTCCGAGCACCTGCCCCAGATGGTTTCCTTTCTCTGCTCACTCCCTCACCCTCGTGTGCCTTCCTCTCAGCACTCAGTGACATGCCGAACTCACCCGCTTGCAGCTGATAAAAAGATGCCTATGGACTTCAGCAGCTTGTCCAGGCAAGTGCCGTACATGTAGCTGTTTGCTAAGGTCAAGGAGAGAATTACAGACCATCTTGGTGTTTGTCGGGAAGCCCTCGGCTTTGCTTGGTCTGCACCTGGGTAGTCTCTTAGGGAAGAGCAGAGACCTCCCTCCCACAGTCGCTGCAGACTCAGAGTGCACATCCCAACATGGGCAGCACGGCCTGGCCAGATGGCCTTGCAGGGAATTTGTATCTTGTTTCTTTGACTAGAAGGACAGGACGTTCTGATGTGAGTTTTGCTGAGGTGAGGAAAAAAAATACAAGTTCTTTACAAGTGCCTTTCCCTTCAGTTCCAGCTTTAGATAGCCAACTTCCCCCCACTAGAGAACATGGCTCAATATGGATGCCTCCACAAAGAAATTATTCATCAAACAAAATCTTGCTGGAGAACTTTCCCTTCCCCTCCATCCCTCTACTCCTCCCCACCTCCAGCTTTCAAGGAAACGGATACGTCATCCGGAGCCAGGCTGTTAGGCGAGCCAGGAACAAGCTGGCTCCCTGGGAGAACTCCAGCTCCAGCTCCGGCCCCGTCTTGCCAGAATTGCTCTCAATGAAGTTGTCCAGGATGTGGCTTCGAGCAGCTTTGCGGGCTCTGTCCCATTCCTGCAGGAATGCCATGAGCTTCTTGATGGCTTCCTGCTCTTTGACGGAAGTCATCATCTCTTCTGCCTCGAGGAAAATGAGAAAGAAGTTAAAAAAGACCTTGAGGACAGAAACACTCTGTACTGAACAATCACATTTAAGATCTTATCTGGTAAATAGTCATAAAACACTTAAGAGCCATTAATTGCAACTCATTTTCCTTTCCTACTCATTTATAAATAGGAAAACTAAGACAAGAAGGGAGTTCCTCATACACCTGATATTACCCATTGCCCTAGCCTCATTTCTTGCTAGTCTCATGATATAAACATTGCATCACATAGCTGACCTGCTACAGAGTAAATAGGGTGAAAGGAGAGCACAAATAGGCATGAATTTATGGGTAATGACAGGCTTAAGGATGCTGTAAATGCATTTGCACTGCAGGGTGGCATGGCCTTGCTCAGGAGATGGTGGGACAGTCATTTGGTACTGGGCCCATGTCTCGTCCAAGAAAAAGAGTTTGGCCTTTGCAGTGAAAAAAAAAAAAAAAAAAAAAGTGGTTTTGGACCCTTTCTCATGTGGACATTTGCTCCTTTCTCCTTATCTAATCTCTGTGCAAAGGTTCTCAGTTTCAACTGCGTGTTTTCAAACAGCCTGAGAAAACCTGACATGATTAGAAAACACTTGCAAGAAGACTGAGGCTTCAGGAATGGCCTTTGCCTGCACCTCCTCTATGTAGGTGCTAAATAAAGCTTCTCATATTTTGCCTAATTTCTTCAGCACATTTTTGAGTCGTGATGATATCTCCCACTCCAGATTCACAAATGTGAAGATGCCCTTAGTAGGGGATGAAATGCCAGAGGAATAAGCTCCATCTCTTCATGTAGATAAGAATTCCACTGACACGTAGGCATTTAGCTTTAAGATGCTGGCAAGTCTCAAAGAGTCTTACAGTTAAGCGTATAGAGAGTGATTAAGTACAATAATAAATAAAATAAAAATAAAAAGACAAAAATTGGGGTGTTTTATAATAAAAATTTCTTTCAGTGAAATGCAAGTCACTAAGATTACCAATTTTCTGTCTGCACAGTTCTTATGACTTTTATCCTAGAACTTGAAACAAAATCCCAAGTTAATCTCAGAAAATCCCACTCCAGTGTCTAAGGCACCTGCTCCAGGGTAACTTTCTACTGCTATGACCTGAACTAATGAGAGGTGAAAATGTAACATACCTTCGTGACTGCAAACAAAAAAAAAATCTTGAAAAAGTTGGCTAAGAAACAATGTTTGGGAATTAGGATGAGGTGAAATTTCATTTGGGAATTAACAGCCTGTAAGGAGCCTGTGTCCTTGGCAGGACATTTTCAGGATCTCCTTTGAATGGAAGCAGGTTTAAAATAAATCCATTTTCCCCAAATAGTTGTGATTGAAAGTGTTATTAGCCATAACAAATGTTAGCACTGACAGGAGAATGGCCTGTTAGGGGCCTTTGGTGAAACAGTCAAGTGAAAGTCATATTTCACATTATTGCAAGCATTTTCCTGTGATTTACAGAATATTTGTGAAACATTACTCGCAAGGCATATGATTGATACCAAGAGAACTGCTAGTGTGTAGGGGAAATCTGTATTTCACCGAGACTGTTTGCATGAAATTTACAGTCTCATAAAGGGCTCCTCTGTCCTCAGCAGAGATCTAGTTAAAAGAACTTTACAGTCTGAAACATCCCAAAATTGATTCTAAATTAACGTTTCCATATTTATGTTTGAGATGCCGGCAGTGTACTCTATCCCATTTTTATTAGAAAGCAGCAATAACCCCAATAACCCCCACTATTCAGAAAGCAGCCTCCGGACGTGAGGGTTTTGGTGATACAAAGTGCTTGCCTTTCTATCAGTGGCAAAGAAAATGGAGTTGGAAAAAAGGATGGCATGTGGCTTGGAGGGTGCAAAGGTATCAATAGCTGGCTGGCATAATAACGTGATCTGCTGACATAGTGGCTTTCATGCCAGCACTGTGGATTACCATAAAAGCGTGTAACTATTTTTATCAGGCCCATTTTACATACGGGAACATACGGACGTAGGGATATGACCGCAGTCATTTATCAGTGGCAAGGGCAGCAGGTAGCTCCTGGGTTTTGGCTTCAAACTCTGCTCAGGTGCAGGCTGGGTCAGAGCAGGGCTTTTGTCCGCTGCAAAGAAAAGGACAAGGGATTTAGGACCTAGCGCTGGCGCTTCAGCCGTTCTGCGTTTCTGCATCCCCTGCATGTTGCTAAAGCAGCAGGTTGAGACCAGAGCGCGTTGGTGCTGCCAAGGTGGCCAAGAGTGGCCGGCAGACTCGGCGCCACCTTTGTCCCCTGCAACACGGAGGCTGTGCCCAGGGCTCCTGCCTCCTCGGCCCTTTCCAGGCCGTCCCCACGGCCTCCATCCCACCCCAGCCAACTCAGGGTCCCACGGCCACCCACACACCCAACCTCCCACCCACCACCAAGGGTCATCCCTGCCGACGGGCTCCTCCCTGCATCCCCTCATGCCCACCCAGCCCTTTCCTGACCCAAATCCAGCCCAGCCCCTCCAACACACCGCCCAGCCCCACACCCTGACCCCGCCCCAGCCCCCCCCGTGTCCCTCCGTGCTCTGTCTCCCACCTCCCCTCCCGCCCCGCCCGCCATGTCCGCCCGCCCCGACCCGCCTCTCACCTGCCCGCCGAGGGGCGGACACCCTGCGGCATGACTGACACCTCCACCCAGCCAATCGCGGCCGGCCTCGGCTCCGCCGGCCCAATGGCCGAGCTTGTTTTGCTCCCCGTGGGCGTGGCGCCCGTTGCTGCGCGCGCGTTGCTAGGGAAGCCGGAGGCGGGGCGCGGAGGGGGAGGTGCTTGGCTGAGAGGGCGGCCGCTTTGCCTGCGCATTGGCTGCGGGAGGCGCGGGGGGCGGGGCTTCCGGTGGGGAGAGCGGAAGCGGCGGGGGTAGCGGGCGGCGATGGGGAGCCGCGGGTTGGAGG